CTAATTACAGGTATTGCTCAAGCTTATGTTCTTTCCTGAAAAAGCTCCTTGTCCTGACTCATCCTAAAGAACTTACTGGTGTGCAAAAGAATGGGGTGGTGAATCAGTGACCCCACGTAATGGGGGCAGTGCAGCACCTGCCTTGAGCTGATCTCTTGGCCACCCAAACCCACAGAGCTGTGTGGTGTGAGATCCTCGCTGTGAGGAGCTGATGGACACTGTTAGAACAGGACTGCTGCTTTGGCCTGGGAGAGTACTTCTCAAATGAGTGGCTTTCCTGGTGTGCTTTTTACACCTTTGTAAGTAGATGTTCCTATTGACATGAACAAACATGTCCAAGTTAAGGTCCACTTTATCATAGAACAGCTTAGGTTGCAGGGACCTTAAAGATCATCTAGTTTCACCCCCCCACTATGGGTGGGGCTGCCACCCATTAGATCAGACTGCCCAACACCACATCCAGCATGGCCTGGAGCACCTGCTGGGATGGAGCATCCTCAGATTCTCTGGGCAGCTGCGCCAGTGTCTCATTGCCCTCCTTTCTAATGTCTAATTTAAGTCTCCCCTCTTTTAGTTAACGCTGTTTCCTTTTGTCCTATCACTACCAGACCGTGTAAAGAGTCACTCCCCCTCCTGCTTGTAAGCTCCCATCAAGTACTAGAAGGCTGCAGTGTGGTCTCCCTGGAGCCTTCTGCAGGCTGAACAAGCCCAACTCCCTCAACCTTTTTTCAAGGGAGAGGTGCTCCAGCCCATTGACCATCTTTGTGGCCCTCCTCTGAACCCACTCCAGCAGCTTTGCATCCTGTGCTGGGGGCCCCAGGCTTGGGCACAATACTCCAGATAGGGTCTCACAATCCCCTCCTTTTTCCTCCCAACCCCAGTTGATGCAGCCCAGTATGCCATTAGCCTGCCGTGCTCCAAGAGCACACAGCTGGATTATGTCCAGTTGTTTGTCCTTCCTCTGCAGGGCTGCTGTCAAGGAGTTCTTCTCTCAGTCTGTAATCATATCTAGGATTGCCTCGACCCAAGTGCGTCGCCTTGCACTTGGCTTTCCTAAACCTCACATTAGGTTCTCACAGGCCTGCTTCTTGAGCCCATCCGGGTCCTTCTGGACTGCAAATGTTAGCGTTTACTAACTTTGGAGTGTTACAGACTGAATGTAACGACCTTTTAAAATACACGAGCTTTTGTTTTAAATAAAGCTAAAAAGAAGACAGCTTTGTTTTTTTCCCCCCTTACAGTGCCATTGGGCTTCCATTAGAGTTCAGGATATTGGTCATTCCTTGCTGTCACGTGTAAGCTGTCACCTTAGAGTTTTGGGCTAAAACATGTTCCACGTGGATGGAGTCTTTAAGAAACGCTGCCACTGAGTTTCTGAGGATTCTTCAGTTGGCTCATGTCAAACTGTTTGCCAAATGATAGGGCTCAGCTAAATGCGGGTGAGTTTTCACACACATCAAAAGGCACATTCCTGATAATCAGAGAAATTCTTTTAGTGTCAGGTGTAGTGCACAGACTGCAAATAGTTAAGAGGCAGAACTGGCTTTTAGTGTTCTAGTTTGATGATTTTGTTACTCGTTTGCTCTTAACATTTTGACTCTTGCCCTCTTCCTTGATCATCTGCCTGATTTCTGCTTCCCCTTTTAGCTGCTGCCTCTGACACTGTATGTACATACCGTAGTATCCCAGCCAACCTGTGTTTGCCTTTCCTTGCCACTGTTCTTCCTGTATTGTCATGTCACTGCAGAGAAGCAGAAGCATGCTTTCTGCTCTTTCCCCACCAACAGGTGGTCAGTTTTTCTCTTCTGTTCTACAAGGAAACAGGTGAGCCTGATAGAGAAATGTGATGCAGGTAACCTGTCCCTGTGCCACAAGGGCTCCTGAAAGACTGAAGGAAACACCCAGCTCCATAAAGTGGATAATGATCCCAACGGATGGATTTTCTTCTGGAACTGAAAATTCTGCTCTTTCTGAACTGAAAATGCAGGCTTTTGTCAACAGAGATGCTCATAGGTTTTCTTCTGAGGTTGGAGTGAGGAGTTGGAGGGAGTTCTTGCCATACAAACATTGATGGAAACCACAGCTAATTTGTCATCTGCGGTTGTTACTGATTAACTCATGTCCACATATTTTGTCAAAATTCCTGATTTTGCTGGTAGCCTCAGCAGGTTTGGAGGATTTGAGTGGACGGTGACCAACGAGCTTTCCTCTGACTCCAGGCCTAACTCAATTTCTGAACATGCACGTTATTATTTGCCCAGTGTGGCGGTGCTGTCAGTGACATCTAATTTGCTGCTTTGGTACTGACTCCGGTCTGAAGCAGAGCCTGCAGCCGTGCAGGTCACTGGGGGTTACCCACGGCACAGCTGCCATGGTGTGCTGCCACTCCAGGGAGGTGGAAGCATTGCACTGCTGTCCGCGGGGGAGCTGTTTCCACTTGATGGAAAGACAGACCTCACGCTGCCTAACCGGTCATTTCTTCTCTAATACATTCAGGCAGCAGAGGAAGCAAGCACTTATAGCTGAGACAGCGCATGTCTGGAAGATGGAGAGGGCTGAAGTACTGCAAAAAGAGTAAAGCGGAGCCTTGGATGGGACTGCGAGCCCCTGCTCAGGGCGACACGTGTCTCTGTGGCTTAGTGGTGCTGCCATGCTGCGCACAGGCGCGGTGCTCATGCGCTTGGCACTGCTGTCGGGATTGATTGGCTTCTTCTCAGCTGGGTGTGCAATGCTTCCTGCCATCGAGAAAACACTGCTGTGGTGTGCTATTAAATTGTGTGCCTTACACCTCTATAATGGCCGGTCTGGCTGAATCCAGCTGTTAGCAGTGTCTTCTGCAGAGGTTTTGGTCTTTGTTTCTGTCTTGTGTCCATCCTATACAGTGAGTGATTGATTTAATGTGGAAATGGCTGCTTAATTATGTCCTGGGTGCCTTTGCAAGAACAGGAAAAAATACAGGAAGGAAGATGATAAAACAGAGCACTGAGAAAGTGGGAAATGCCTGACATCGAGGAGCTTCTCTTATATGTTATTAAAATCCAATTTTTATATATTTTTTTCCAATCCATGCTGACCAATTGTAGTATGAAATCAACATTGTAATGCAACAGTACAATGCTGAAAGAGGCAAAGACTGTTGAAGGAGAAAGAAATCCATGTCTTATCTCTTGAAATGTTTGATCAAAGTGTGGACAGGGTCTAGATGTCAGTTCTGACCCTCCAGATTTCCAAGGTAATGCTGGGAAGGACTGTCATACAGGTACAGCTGGCAACAGAAGGAAGCTTTGAGAGAGCCTTCGTTTTGCCACGTCTGTATTTCTGACCCTAGCACTGTCTGATGCCTTCATGCAACTGCTGATCTAACCCTCAGTCCCATAACAAGCAAAGTTTCTGGGCAGCTCTGTTTTTCAATCCATACCCACCACTTTTTGCCCTGAGACCCGTCAGGCTGCAGTGCTTGTTAATTATCAGTTGAAGTGCACTAAACCAGAATGCTAATAGTAGGTGGTAATTGTGGTTTTTCACAAACTGTTTATTAATCAAACTGCTTGGGGGAAATGGTACTGATACTGACAGTTGTATCAGTTCTGAAGGGCTCTAATTGGATAGTGATAGGACAAGGGGAAATGGTTTTAAACTGAGACAAGGGAGATTTAGGTTAGATATGAGGAGGAAGTTTTTCACACAGAGGGTTGTGACACACTGGAGCAGGTTGCCCAAGAAGGTTGTGGATGCCCCATCCCTGGAGGCATTCAAGGCCAGGCTGGATGTGGCTCTGGGCAGCCTGGTCTGCTGGTTGGCGACCCTGCACATAACAGGGGGGTTGAAACCCAATGATCATTGTGGTCCTTTTCAATCCAGGCCATTCTATGATATGATATACTGCAGCCAGAACTGAACTTGGGATCCAGTTTTATCAATCAGGAGCACAGCTTCCTAAAATTCCTTAGTGAGATATTAACAGGTACAGGGCTGTGTTGTTGGCCACATCTCTTTTCCAGGTTGGCTATCGTCTGCTGTTTTTATAAGCCTTGCAAAATTACAGTGGTTTTGCACATCATTGGAAGTGTATTAAAAATAAAAGTGACGTTTATTTTTAAATTAAATAGATGGATGTTATTTCAAACTTCCCAGTGCTGTCTGTGTGGCAAGGGTGAGCAATCACAGGGTTACCTCATGTCTGGAACAGCCTTTTTCCTGTCTGTCTTTCACAGTTCTTTCACCTGGCACCGCTCACTCTGTCTTTTCTCTCCTTGCATTTTGTAACCCTAACTTTACCTCCTTGGCTTCTGTTAAAAACTTTATTCCCTTTCATGTTACTGGTGTCCTAAGTATCAGCCTTTTTTCTCTCTCAGGAGTTTCTGCTGCTGTCACTACAGGTTTTTTCTTTATCCAACAATACAATCTTACAGTAATTCTATCAATGCCAAATTCCAGTTTTTGTTTTCCAGCTGTTATTTGCCACGTTCTCAGCAACGTAGGGTCTCAGTCTCCTTGTGCTGTCTTCGGCTGCCTGACTTCCCACTCCTCCAAAGCCAATTTCTGCCACATGGCACCATGCCCTCTGCCAGTGCCCGCTTTTCTTTCAGTTCCATCCCACCTGCTGTTTCCTAGTTGTTCCATTCCTGATTTTCAGCCCAGACTCCTGTTTTCAGCTGCCATACAGAGCTTACATAAAAACTTCTCTTTCAGTGTGTCATCTTTTCTGCAAAACAGGTGACAGCACCCAAAAGAAGACATCTGGTAATGTGAATGTTAGTGGGGGAAGGAACACAGTGTTAGTTATAGGAGCCCTCTAACATGAGGCCTTCATGAGGTCTTCATAAGAAATCCTCCCCCCTGCTTCCATGTATTTGAGCGTTAAGAGCTTAGTGTGTTAGATCATACGGTTTTTCCTGTTTGGAGAATGTTAGATATATATAAATATATATATTTCTTAAATTAATAAAAGTTATTGTTTGTGTACCCTGGTGGGTGGCATGTTTCACATTTCTGGTACAGCTTTCATCAGCAATACACTGAACAAGCTGCTTTCCCTCTGTGCCTGACGGTGTGAGACTTGTTTCACTGTCCTCTCTTGTGTGACTGCCTTTTGCTTCCTCCTGTTTTCACTGCAGGGGGTTCAGGCTTCAGCTGTTTTCTGTCTCAGGCTGATTTTTCTCTGGGTAGCATTTCAACCAACTTAGAAAGATAAGATCCTCTCTGCGTGAATGCCATGGGAGTATTCTGGTGATCAGTCATGTCAGGTACGCAGTGTGTATCACAGTCCTTTAAAAAATCTTCCCAAATACATTGATGTGTGCCTTTCAAAACTACAACTTGCACATAGTCTGTAAAGATCTGCAACAGCTCACAGAATCAAGCCCTATGTTTTCAGTTCAGTGAGCACCTTGTGACTGCATGCCTGTCTTCCTGTAGGACAGCTTTTGAGATGAACTGGGAAACGTGGATCTTGTTTAGTGACTGCAGAGGTTTCAGGCCAGGGCTGGTGTGTTTTCCTAAAAATGGACACTTTCAACTGCTTTTTAACTAGAGGTGTGGGATTTGAAGTTGATGAAGGAAGTCTTTCTCTCACAGGTTCTTGCAGACAAGTTCCTGGCAGAAGGTTGAGGTAGTTTAGGGGGAGAAGCTGGTGTGATTTGGAGTGAAAGAAGGGTAAAGACATTTGCTGGAAGCTGGGAAGAGACCATCATATAAGCCAGTTAGCAGAAAGGAGAGGGAGCAGAGTGAATAAAGGAGCTGAGGTAAGGGAAGAGACTTCAGTTTGATGAAAGCACACTGGCTTCCAAAGAAACAAAAAAGCCGTGAATGAATAAAAACATGATAGGAAGTGAGATTTCCATGGTGAGTGATGTACCAACAGCGTGCTGATGTTGTTCTAGAAGTATGCAGTACCAAAATGATTGGATAACCAGAGACTCAAAGCAGTGTCTCTTGGAAGTGCTCTAGATGCAGAAGTTACCTGATCCAGCACCTGCATGGACGGAGCAGTCCATAACCTTTCTTGTCAATCTGCCCCAGTGGTTGGCTATTCTAGTTGAGCAAAGAAACTGAAAGTAGTGATGTTGTGTCAGCAATACAACAGATTCTCTGAGGTATCCCAATCCATTTCTCTACAGTGTTACCCAGCTTTTCATTTCTCTTTATTCCCTCCCCATGCTCTCCTCAGGCCTCTTAGTGCTGTCCACTTAGCTTGTCTTCCCTGCTAGGGAGTGAGAAGGGACCTCTAGAGAGAGCAGTGTGTCCTTTAGCTTGAGTATATTCCTCCCTGCACAGATTTTGGGTTATTTTGGTGACAAGGGTGGGACGAAGAAAAGTGTGCTGGAAATTTGGCACTGTGACAGGGCCACCTGAAGAAGAAAACTGGTACTTTGAGGAGAAGGGGTGGAGTTGAGGTAAGTTAGTGGGAGAGCGGAGGGTTGGGAGGAGGATCGATTGCAAGGGGCATTTTGAAAGGGGTCAGAATTGAGGAAAAGCAGCAACATGGTTATCTGCATTAAATCTATTTTTTTTCTTACCAAATAGCCATTGAGCTTTCAAGCAATGTGTTCTGCTAAGGCTCTTGTGTGGCTTTGCTTCCTCTGTGCTTCCCAAGATTTAAGAGAGCAGCATGAATTCTGGAGGGAGATCCTGTTTCTATTTTGAAGGCGGATTGTATGCTAAGGAAAAGATGCTATGCTAGGAGGGGGAATTCTCAATAGAAAAACCCAAATGATAGGCCTTCAAAGTCCAGTCCCTGCTAGAATGATTTCAGAACACCATCACAAAGAGGCTCTGTAGCCTTTCTTCTCTATTGTTTGAAGCAATCCGGATGATTTGCAGCCTACTTCCACAAGGTGTCCTGAAAACTGAGTGAACGGGAAGCGCTGTCAATACAGAACACTGTGTTAGCAGTTAAGAGGGTAAATAAACTTTGTTCCCCACTTGCATCTAATACCATAATTACTTAATTAGACTTGCCACAAGCTGGCAGTACCTCCAGAGAAGCAGTCCCAGCAAACTAGTCTGGGATAAAACTTCTTAAAATTTATTTGGCTAGTTTGTTTCTTTATTTAAACTGTGTGGGTTTTCTGTTCTTAATCACCACAGGGTCCTTGAACACTGAAGAAAGGGCTGCTTCCGTGCTTGCTAAAGCCAGTGCTGTAGCTCTTGCATGGTCTCCCATTTGTGGTTTATGAGCAAAGTGCTTTCTAGGTGAGATTCTCTCCCCGTTTTAGGAGAGGGGGTATCAATGGGGAGCAGGGAGCAAAACTGCTTGTCTAAAGCCACTAAATTGGAGATGGCAGAGCAGCTCCAGCTGTCATGCTGGGAAATAGAAACTGTTCCAGAGTCACTTGGATCTATTTGGAAAATGTGACTTGGATATACTCTTTGACTACTGAATCAGTGTGCCAAAGCTTATAAATACTGCTGGCATCCTGTAGGCTTAAGTCCTAAATGGTCTACTTTGCTTTCACTGTTCCTTAGTTTTAACTTAGTAAATGTAAGTGTCTCCTTGGTTTTTGAGCCCACTGGTGAGTTTGCTCATTCAAAGGCAGATTTTCATAGCGTAGAAGAATAAATAACTGTTTAGAAATTGAATCAGAAGTAAATTTGAAATCCTAGATTGTTCTCCTCAACCTTGAATTACAACACAGCATGTCACAGAACCATAAGATTAAGAGCCTTGCTTGTTTACCTATACTCTTCTTTTTGAGATCATCTAACTGCCAATTACTGTGAGAAGAACTCCACTAAATACATTAGTGAAAAAAAGAAAATGCTTTAATGCTGTATAGCCTATACTGCGATTTCATGTGATCTTTTTCAGTCATCCACCTCTCTGTATGTGACTCATTTTTTCTGAGGTGAAAGCCAAGATCCGAGTTAGTAGGATGCAGTGTTTTGAATTTGCTTTATCTGCTAATACTAAAAATTAGTAGCATCCTTTCAGATTCAATAGACTTCTTAATACCTTAATACCTTCTCAATGCCTGGGCGAAAAACTAGTATCCAGAGGAATGGCTGGTTCTCTGAGATATCTACAGAGTGGTGCCCATCACTTAGCAATCACTATCTTGTTATTAACACATTTTGTTGTGAGATCATTTATTAATTTAGATATGTATCCTTATAGGTAGTTAGATATAAATCTTCCTGGAAAGCTTAATGAAACTGTTGGACCATTCAGATTTGCTAATCAAGTATGTGTTTCACCAGTGTGTGATCCTGAACTTCTTGCTGGCACTGGAGTTGCTGATAGACTGAAAGCCCTGCTGTTGTTATGGGTGACCATGAGTGAATCGTCAGCTTCATTTTAATTTTGGGGACAAAAAGGTATCATTATTTGTACCATCATTGACACAATGTTTTTCATTTTTCGTTGACAAGTTCTTTACAGTAAGAGTGGTGAGGTGCTGGAACAGCTGCCCAGAGAGGCTGTGGATGCCCCATCCCTGGAGGTGTTCAAGGCCAGGTTGGATGGGGCCCTGGGCAGCCTGGTCTGGTATGAAATGGGGAGGTTGGTGGCCCTGCGTGTGGCAGGGGATTGGAGATTCATGATCCTTGAGGTGCCTTCCAAACCTGGCCATTCTGTGATTCTTTTCTTTGTATGAGTTGTGGTTTAACCCAGCTGGTGGCTGAGCACCACACATTCATTTGCTCATTCCCTCCTTCCCAATGGGGTGTGATATAGAGTTGGAAGAAAAAAAAAAGGTAGAAGTTATGGGTTGAGATAAAACTGGTTACTAAGATAAAGACAAGGATAATTGTTATGGCTGTATATAAATATGAGTGCATGTAACACATGGTGCAGAAGCAATTGCTCACAACCTTCTGATCAATGCCCAGCTAGCTCCCGAGCAGCAAAAGAGAGAGACATGAACTCCCATCCCCTTCAAAACTCCTTCTGTTTGATGTTGTATGGTATGGAATATCCCTTTGGACAGTTTAGGTCAGCCATCCTGATTCTGTTCCCTCCCAGCTCCTTGTGCCCTTCTCTGTGAGTGGTCTCAGCTCTGTACGACGCTGCTTAGCAGCAGCTATAAACTTTGGTGTGTTCTCAACATTGCTTTTCTCCTGGAGCCAAGTGGCAGCATCATACACTCTGAAGATCACAATTCTGTCCCAGCTGGAATAAAGACGAAATGTTAGTTCAAGTTCAGTTTACTAACTGCTGCCTGAAGTTCTTAATAGCTTAATTAATTGAGATAACAATTCTTAACTATTTCTAATAACTTTTTTTTTTTTTTTTTCCATTGAATTATTTTACAGCTCTCTCATTCATTCATTGCATATCTGTGTGCGGAAGGTAACAAAAAATGTTGGTAGCGGTTGCATAAAAATCTAGTTAATCTTGGATTGTATTTAACTAGTTCTGGTTCAGTATTTAGATTTTGTACTGATGTCCTTGAATGCTTTCTTTGTAGGCAGACAATGTTACTAGCTCAGATAAACCGAGACTCTCAGGGAATGACTGAATTTTCTGGAGGAGGAATGGAGGCCCAGCATGTGACTCTGTGTCTGACAGAAGCTGTAGCCGTGCAAGGTGAGCACTGAGTTGAAATGTGTATTATTGTGTCTTTCCTGTTAGAAGGTCAGATAAAACTCTAGAACTCAAGCAGTGTATTCTAAATGAAAAATCTAACACAAATCAGCAGATTATTCTTAGTTAGCTGAGATGAAGTTCACTGATTTAATTAAGAGAGTGATCTCTTAATTAAGGTAATAGGAGTATAAACGTATCAAAATAGATACTCGAAAATCTGACTTAATTCTCACAGTGGTTTTACTGTTTTATACTTTGTGACTTCATTATGCACCAAAGCACATTTTAGACTAGTTAAATTTTAAAATAGGTTGGTGATTTGAATTGGTTTAAATATGGTATTTTCTGACAGCTTTGGTACGATTTTCACTGATAAAATCTTTTTCCTAAGTATTTTAGTCTAAATAGATTTGCATATACTAATATAGGTAATAGGGTACAAAACAAAATTATTGATACAAATAGATATTATTTCACTGTTGGAGCTCATTACCTAATTAATATTTTCCCTAAAACCTAAACTTTGCGATCGTTTATTCAGTAACACAGCTTTTCTAGTTAGAGCAAATAGCACTGAGGCTGTCCTGTTTATGGAGCGAGGTCTTGAACATCTGACCACAGTATGTCATCAAGGTTGAAAACCCAGAAAACCTACCAGTATTTCTAAAATCACTGGGTTGTAAGGGATGTCATCATTTTTGGAGGTGCATAACTGGTGATTTTTGAAGTTTGATGTTGGTAATAGAGAATGTGAACCTTTTGCTTTACTAGATGGTGACAACTTAGAAAACATGGAAGGTGTAAGTTTGCAAGCAGTTACCCTGGCTGATGGCTCCACTGCATACATACAGCACAATTCTAAAGGTAGGGAAACGACTGGAAGTTGGTTTGTATCGACATTGTATTCCTCTCTTTATTTGTATTCCCCTCCTATGCTGGGTTGTAAACCCCTCTGGGTAGTAAAACTGAGGAAAATCTTCAGTGTTTTCAAAGCTGTACTCCCAGTTGGGGTATTGCAGTAATAATACCAGATAAATATTTATTTCCAGTACTAATAAGATGCAGGTATCAAATGCAGAACATAAGTCAGACACAGAAGCAAGATACTCTTCATGCTTCAAACCCAAATACCAACGTTCTGCCTACTGGATAGGTAATAAAATTTAGTGTTCTGTATTGAGTGTATTTATTTCAACCATCATGCCTTCTTTATCCTAGAATTTTAAAACCACTGTTTCTTAGCCCCTTACTATGCTTCAGCTTTAGCAAGCAGTATAAGTCTGTGATATTGTACTGATATTCAGTCTGATCCACGAAGTGTCTGCTGTGTGTTTAAAGTAGGTTGTGTCACACTGTGAGATTCTCTGAAAGTACTCCGTGTATTTCAGATGGTAAATTAATGGATGGCCAAGTGATTCAACTAGAAGATGGTTCTGCAGCCTATGTTCAACATGTACCCATGACTAAAAGTAGTAAGTGTAATTATATATATATATATATATATAAAAATATATTTTGAAATATTTTATTACTGATAGATACTGATATTAACTAATCAGTAATCATTTAAAAAAAGCTTGATTTCTTATTGTTTTGCAAAGAATCTTGAAGAGAGAATTTTTCTGACTAATGCATTTTTCAACCTCTTGTCAAAGCATTGTAATTCTTTCTTCTAAACAGGGGACAGCTTGCGTTTGGAAGATGGACAAGCAGTTCAGCTGGAGGATGGAACTACAGCATTCATTCATCACACCTCCAAAGGTAAATGGCTTTTGAATAATGGTTTAATATTTCAGTTGAACAGAACAGCAGTACAAAACACGATACTGTATTCAGACAATTACGTAATTCAGCGTGATTCCCATTGTAGTTTATTTCTTACTTCTGCTTAGTGGCATCTAGGAATTACTGAAATGAGTCTGATTCAGTTCTTTATTAGGTCATCATAGAGCAGTTATAAACAGAATTTAAAAATCACCAGCTGTGTATTGATTTTTGAAGCCATGGATATCAATAAAGTAAGTAAATGCCACGTCAGTAGAGCAAGCAAGCTATCATACAGATTTCAGCCATAATTGTATGTAGAATTAAGAAGAGAAAGCAGTTAAGAATGAATCAATCAATCCCACTTAAACTAAAGAATGTAGAGTCATGACATACATTTCAAAGATCATCTCCTGGGGATATTGTCTTTAAGTAGTAGGGCTGAAAGTGTGATGACTGATGGTCAAAAATGCAAACATTCATTTTAAATTATAACCTAGATTGCTGCAGAAGCTGATTATTCCCATCTTATGAACAATCCTATTTCTTTTGAAAAAGTGAACCATTAGATATTTTAATAAGCTAATGTGACAAAAATTACATTCCACTGCCAGCAACACCATCCAGAGTTTATTTTGCATCTATTTTTATGGGTGATTCTGGTATCAGGGTCAGATCCATACATTCTAAAATCAGATGTATGTGTTTCCTATGTTTTCATTTTATTATGAGTGGATAATGAGTTGGAAGAATATTTGTGGTCGTGATTTCCTTTGTTAGTAAAGCTAGACCACAATTGAATAGACTAGAATTGGTTTTGCACTTCTGCAAGTGTGCAGAAGATGTAGATGGCGTTGTCTTGAAAAAAAGTTAATCTGCTATTCATAGTGGTATTGTAATTGGGTATATTTCTCATAAGTATCAGACACATGTATGGCTTTTGGAGACGTTTCCTAAGCAGCAGCAATTTCTTGTGTTACCTACAGCCATTGCTATTCCTTTTCATTTGTAACACGTCGTAATATTATTTCTCAGACAGTTATGATCAGAGTGCATTACAAGCAGTCCAGCTGGAGGATGGCACTACTGCCTACATTCACCACGCAGTGCAGATGCCACAGTCAGATACCATTTTAGCCATTCAAGCTGATGGCACAGTGGCTGGTCTTCACACGGGAGATGCTGCCATTGACCCAGATACCATCACTGCTTTGGAGCAATATGCAGCTAAGGTATGCTGAACAACAGTTCATCTGTCTGTAATGTTTTAATGTCATATCACATGATGCTTGACAGCAAAAGCCCACTGTGAGCTAAGAAATAAAATGATAAGAGAGTCTTCAGACTCTTTTAAGGGAGAACACCAGATTGCCACAACAGTGCCTCACTGTTATGGGTGGCTCCAGTGTGTGCTCTTGCATAAAGACAAGAAATGGAACACCAATATGATGTGGAATCAAGCTGATGTGTGTAGTGATTTGGACAAGTAAATAACTAGTTTCTGTAAAATACAAAAGATTAGAGTGGAGCCTCTTCAGAAGTAGTTTGGAAAGAAGGACAAAGTTAAATTATTCTTAACAAGAGACCACTGCTGATTTTTTTTTCTTGCATTGAAAGGAGTAGGGCCTGTTATCTTCAGTAAGGATATTACATGATAATAAAGTGTAAAAAAACACCATTAGGCAGCTGATGAATTTGGAGAAAGCTTCTCTGATCCATGCTTTTAATGACAAAAATGTAATGTGAGGCTAAAAATTCACGTTCTCCACTTCAAAGGACTTCTGTGAAGTGTGGTCTAAATATACAGCAAACAGTGCAACTTTCATGATTTAATGGTTTCCGAGTGTCCTGATTCCTAGATGACTGCTGTCAGTGCTTGCATTGGTTTGGAAGTAGTTGAATTAATTTTATAATTTGTTCTCAGGTGTTACAGGGAATAGTCATATTCTGGGAGAAGGCCACTTAGGGTGATTAAATGGCACATACCCCATTCTTTCCATTATGTTTGTGTGCTGTAATTGAAGAAAACATAAGAAAGCCCATCAGACTGTGTTACATTTAGCTGTGCCTTAAACTTTCATTATGTAAAAAGGTAATTCAAGGCTAGCTGTGCTGTAGCAACAAGCTTTTATGCATTGCCTAGCTGTTATTTCATCTAGGTTTATATCAGTTGGAACTTTGTCCTTTTTAATAAGGAGCTATGTTAATACTAATTTGTTATAAAAGTACCCTTCTGTTTTGTGGAGAAGAAGCAAATATATTTGCTTTTTTTTTCCTATTCATCTCAACATGTGTTTTTGAGTTCTGTAATGTGAATTAGTATTCTGAAGTATACTTGTGTATAGCTAGGAAAAACCCTGCTTGTTTTCTTAAAGCTTTCATCTCAGCCTTATCCTGAGATGTACTGCTAGAACTTTCAAGGAAAATCAGGAAAAGTGAATTTCCAAGTTCTGAAACTACATTATGTGCAAAAGCAAGTAATAGCTGCATTGTTACACCCCTGTTTTTCTCTTAAAAGGAGAAATGCAGTTTTAGGATTCTGCTCCATGTCCATATAGACTTCATAATACGGCAGTGTATACTTTTACTAGCAGATGGCTTAGGGCATTAAAAAAGGTACAGAAAGGGGCAGCAATGGTGACCAAACAAATGAAATATATGAGGTAAGGATATGAGAGAATTTCACCTGATTTTAAGTGGCACAGAGTAGTGTCTTGTCATTGTCTTTACCAGTGTAAGAACTGGGAAGCATCAGAGAAAACTCTCAGGTCTCAGGTTCAGTGACAACAAGGGAAGGATATTTTTCAAACAGCATAAAGTTAAGCCATGGTACTGCTTGTAGAATGTTGCTCATACTAATTATGTCTCTAGATTCAAAGGGTAATTAGAAAATTCATGGAAGAGAAATGTATCTGGGGCTATTAGGTAGGAACATGTGATTTCTAGTTCAGGAGGTTCCTAAGCCACAAATTGCTTGGAGGCTGGGAGAATATTTCCGGAAATGTATCACTAAAAGAAGACTGCAGAGCAGCTCACTGGACTTGGTGGAGGATATTCATTTTTCATCATCTCTTACTTCTCTTTTAGGCATAGTCAACATGTCTTGCAGAGTGCATGTAAAGGCTAATTGGAGTCCTCTTAATTTTAGACTTAGTCAATGCCACCTTCCTCTCAAAGCAACCTGGAAAAAATAGATTATTGCTCTCAGTCTGCATAAAGTCAGAGGACGTGTAGTGGAATTGCAGATAGGAATTGTGGCTGGATTTAGGGGCACCAATCTCAGCCTTGAATGTAAGAGGGTATTGTGAAAGTGAGTGCTCAACACAGAGGCAACTACTGAAGAGGAAAACTTACAAAGTATATTTCAAATTAGTGTTTTTTACTACAATGACCACTGTTCTGAGTTAATGCATTTGAGAGCATATTAAGTAATCATTTCAAATATTCTATGTCCCTTGAAAAGCAGAGATTTCTCTTCCTATAAATGGTATTTTAAAATGAACCTTAAGAGCAGTACACAAGATACACAAGTCCTCTCTTACCTTTTGTAATTTTACTATTTTGAATTAAGAAGTGGCACATTGTCTAGGTACTTTGATTCTAAAGGAGCTGAGTTTCTTTTTCTCTGAGAACTCAGTGTTATCAATTTTTAATAATTTAATATACTTTCCTTTGAGTTTTCATCTAGCACATTCAGTTCTTGCAGTCTTTTGGATGTCATTTTAAGACAGTCTTGAGATGCTTGCCTTACCTGTTGTATAATGCAGGTGCTGCAAGCGGGATTTTCATGTAAGCTACTGTCTTGTAGGATAACCAGCTTTCAAGAGGGAGCTAGAGAGCTAAGAAAGAATAAGCCCCCAGGAACTGTCTGTCAATCTGCCTTTCCGATGAATAAAAATAACTTCTGTTTTTCCCGTATCAACCTCATTTTTCAGGTGTCTATTGATGGAAATGACAGTGTTAGTAGCACGGGAATGATAGGCGAAAATGAACAAGAAAAAAAAATGCAGGTATGTAGCACAGTGCAAAATAAATGTGTGCATGTTTGTTCAGTCTTCTCTGTGCATAGTCTGACTGTCTAACCAACTAGTCTGTAGAAGACGCTGCTTCAAGTGAACCCTAAAGAAGCAGACAAATATTTCCAGTTCTTTTTCTTGTTATTACATAGAAGTATAAAAACTTACTGAGGTGAAGGTATTAACTCAAAAGTTCTAAGAGTAATGGAAAGTAAAGGTAAAAATTATGAAGTCTCAATCCTTTTTTACTTTAACCAGAAATCTGTAAAATCCTAATTAGGAACAAGAGCAAAAGCTAATAATAAAACCTTATGCCCTCACTTGCTCTCATGACAGGTTCAGAAATGGCCAAGTCATTGCACTGAGAAAGATTTGGTCATCAAAGAATCAGTGTTCTTCCTTTTTGTTTAATTTCAGAGGTGATGAAGTAGATGAGGATGGAAAAATATCTTCTGAGGTAAAATATGTTACACTACCTGTGAAAGAGGGAATTACAGGCTCACCTCTGACAATGACCTCAAAATCCTGTCATCTTATTTTTTTTTAGGTCCCACAATACTTAAAACCAGTGACAATCTACAGCTGTCTGAATGGCATGATTGTGAAAGGACAGAAGAGCTAATTTAGACATTATCAATAGTATTAAAATGCTTTCCATAAATATAAATAAGGAACTTCTGGAGTTTTGTACTGTTCTAGGATGGAACAGGAATACAACTCTATCAAAATGCAAAATTCAAGGAAGAATAGAATCAGATTTTGTTTGACTTTCACTAGAAGTAAAAACCTATTAAGCAAAACAAGCTGTTACCAATATCCAGTTACATGTTGATTTCGGCCTCAAGCCCCAAAAAAGGTGAATCTGAAGGTTCTTTATCTTGCACTTCATATGGCAACACATATGGCTGTATGGAAGTGTGCTGATCTTATGGAGCATTACGTGTTCCAAACAAATGGCCAAAAAAGATCTGATGTTTCAACAGGTAGTGAGGCTCAAATTCTGACACCTCCCCAGTAAGGTGACTTCATTTGGCCGAGCATGGAAGTGAGGGTCACAGAGCTATTGGTTGTTTCTTAAAGTATTTTCAGTGATTATTTCTTGGTGTGATTAAGTTCCTACTTGTAACTCTTTTAAAAATAATGTATTACTTAAGATACTTTATCTAAATTTGAAACTATTTCATTAAATAAGTGTGTATTTATAAATTCTTCCTAAAAAGATCAAAGTAACTCAAGAACTGAGCAGATGTTATGCTGCTGAGTAGTCATCCAGACCATTTGTGTATGGTTAAGGTTTTCACCAAAGAAAAAAATAAAGCATAAAAACCTGTTTGTGATTTGTACAGATGAGAACAAAAGCCTTTGTGTGACCTAAAGGATATCGTGCTGTATTTTTTTTCACATCTGTCATACCCATCTGTTCAAATGAAAATCATAATCATATGACTGCTGTGTATGTGATATAGAAATCTTACCTGAGATCTTAGTTACCTGTGTTGTTCTTCTGTGTACCTGTCTGAGCTAAGTTAGGATGCGTTGGTGGTTACCTGCAAAATAAAGAGTTTCTGAGTTTTCGTCTCCTTAATTGGAGGGCACCAGTTCACTGAAAGAAAGATTGAATTAGGGGATATTTGAATAAATTGGGCATATCACACATCTGCTGGACCTAATGGATTTAAGTGTGTAAGTGCTGGTAGAGCTTGGTAATGTCATCGCAAAGCCACTCTCAGTTTTCTTTGAAGGGCCACAGTGTTCAGGGGAAGTTTTTGAGGACTGGAAGAAAGCAAATGTCATTCCTGTTTCAAGAAGTGTGAGAAGGAGGATCTGGAGATGTACAGATCTGTCGGCCTCACCTGAGTCCTTAGCAATGAGGTGAACAGATGATCTTACAAGCCATTTTCAGACATGTTAGCAGTTGGGAATAGTCAGTGTGGATGTAGAAAGGAGAAATAATGCCTGACCAACCCCACCACCTTTTGTGACAAAGTAACAACCTTTGTAATTGTTAGAACAGCTGATATTGTTTATTACTCAGATGAGCCAGCAGGAATCTCAGAAAGTTTAATAAAAAGAAGTGGAAAGTCATGAACCTGGGAAGTATAACCAGTGCACTGGTAGAAACTGGAGAGCAACTGGCTGGAAATCAGTTCTGCGGAAAAGGACCTGGGGATCCTGGTGAACAAAGCTGACTGTGAACCAGCCTGTGGTAAAAAAGGCCACATGTCAGCAGAACAAGGGAGGTGATCTTTGCCTTAGACGCAGTGCTGGTGATACGTGTTGGGAGTGCTTGGTCCAGTTCTCAGCTCTCAGGAAGGCGTGGACATACTGGAGTAAGTCTAGTGAAGGACTGTGAAGATGATTAAAGGCTCGGAGTCTGACGACAAGGAAAGGCTGAGAGAGCTGCAGCTATTCAGCTTCCAGCAGAGAAGGCCAGGGGAAATTCTACCAATAAGTATAAATACCTGATATGGGCATATAAAGATGACAGAGCCTGGCTCATAGTGTGCATAGTGGCAGGATAAGAGGAAATCTGCATAAACTGAAATACAGGAAGTTTCATTTAAACTTGAGGGGAAAAAAAACCTCTGAGGACGACTGGATGCTGGCATAGGTTGTGCAGGTTGTGGTGACTCCATCCCTAGAGATGCTCAGAGCTCAGCTGGATATTGCCATGAGCAACTTGCTGCAGCTGATTCTGCTTTGAGAAGAGAGGTTGTATTAGGCTGCCCCATCTCACTGATGCCGTGGCTTGTTCTTTGACAACATAGAATGGAATTGGATTATGGAGAAAAAGGAAGTAGTTTGAAAGGAAGATAGACTTGTAAAAGTCTCAGTTACTTTGTATACAGTTGTATCAACATGTTTACCTTTGGTCTTCTGCCTCTTTTTTCAGTCTGTAAGAATGTTCCTTGATTATTAGTGTACAAAAAAGCCTTTGGTAGGGATCTAAGCTGTATCATGAAATTATTCTGTATATTTTCCTGTTGTGTCACGAGCCTAGCTGCAGTTGCAGGAGGATCTGGATCAAACCCATTAGTTTGATCAAAATACATGCATCACTGACAAAATACAAAATGTTTTCCTTCGTTTTTAGAAAGTGCTCATTATATAACTGCATTTAATTATTGGTTGGCCTCTGTGTGAACTTATCTTTGAAGGTGGTCTGATTTATAGCTAACCTCCCTTAGGAGCAGACCCAGTGCCTTAGACATGTAATCTGAGCCTCTTCTTTCTGGCACTCATCTTACTGCTTCACTTATTTTTCAGATTATTTAGTCTTTGTTATTTGACTAATTAATGCATTCATTTAAATGTTCTAGTTCTAAGTAAAACTCATGCTTTTAATTTCATTTACTGAGTGCTACGAAATACATTGCGTAGCAAAGAGAGATGAAAGGAAACCTGTTAGAGTCAGCTTTGACTGCATGATAGCGTGTGACTTTCTTGTTCCACTGTATTTTTTTAATCTTTTTTTTTTTTTCTTTTTTCAACTTCAGATTGTCTTGCAGGGACATGGAACAAGAGTGGCTGCAAAGTCTCAGCAGAGTGGAGAGAAAGCATTTCGCTGTGATTATGATGGCTGTGGAAAACTGTACACAACAGCTCACCATCTTAAGGTGATGAAATGTAAAACAAGCATTGTTAGTTTGCAGGCATGATTTATTTTTATTTTTTTTTGGACAAATTGTGCACTTTTAAGGGATGGAAATTAACAGAGAAACAACTGTCTAATAGTCTAATAGACTGCAGTTACTGACTAACAAAATATACTCTTAGTCTGTTAATATTACATAAAATGTGCTCTAAAACGTTGACTCCAAATGATGCTTACGTAGTGGTCAGATTGGTGTAGATGCAAACACGGTGTCATGGTTGACCCATATATTTCCAGCATGTAAGAAATCTTGTTGAGATCATTTCTATCAGTACTATCACAGACATTCTGAAATCCAGAGTTCACTAATCTACGTGAATGCGTGATTATGTGAGAATTCTGAGTTCTGAAAGATTTTATCATCATAAGTCTAAATCTTCAAAACAGTTGAGCATGCAAAGTGAAGAGATGGAATGTCTTTTCTTAGCACATAGCAACTTCTTGGTTCCCTCTTACTTGTTTTTTTTTAATTTTTTTATTTTAATTTAGTAAATAAAGTACTGTAGAGCTGTATTCCAGTTTAGATGTGGAATACAGGTGATCACCTGGAGATGAGCTACGCTCCTTTCAGTGGAGCCTTATCTTGGACAAAACACTGTGGAATCAGTGAGGTTTCATGCAATATAAGAGGACCTGCAGAAGTCTCGGTGTAGTCAATAATCAGAGAGAAGGCTCTGAGGCATGCCTGCATGCTTTCTTTAATTTACCTGTGTGTTGGCAATTCCACATATTTACAGAAACATCTTTTGTAAAACTGACTTGAAAGGTTTAGGCTAGACCTTAGAAGAAGACACCTGTAGTTTTAAGGAAAACAGTGCTACCCTATGGTAGTTTTTATCACTGACTTAAAAAGAAGACATTTAAATGTGAATCTTAGGAAGAGAAGTAAAATGTGTTGTCTTTTAGAATAAGGTTTTTCTGTGCTGAAGTAATCAGATGCATCTTGTTAAATGAGTCTGTCGGATGTCTTGGCAGGTACACGAAAGGTCACACACAGGAGACAGACCATATCAGTGTGAACATCCTGGATGTGGTAAAGCTTTTGCAACAGGTGACCCTTTCCTCTCCCTGCTTTTTCGCCTTTGTCTGTATAAGTTTATGGTACCATTCTTTCTTTTTCTTAGTTGCAAAGTATAGAACCTGGTTGGGAATCCATTTATGAGAACTGCAGAAAAAAGTGTTGTTTTAGCTAGTGCAGCATATAGAAAAGACAGAGGATTTGACTATTAGTTACTGAAGGGGTAATGGGGTGAAACACTTGGCACTTTCATTTGGTCTTCACCTGTCATGCTACAGCCAGATTTTATCTTGAAAAAAATAGGCCTTCTTAATATGAAACTAACAGTGTAAGTTACACGAGGTGACAGAAAAAGCTGAACTTGCTGGCTAAAGGGATCTAGATAATGTTCTGATCCAAAGTTGCAAAGAACTTTGGTGGGAGCTGCTTGCAGTGTTTTTTATCACACTGTATCAGGGTGATGTTTCTCATAAAGCAAACACTGTATTTTGTACCGACTAATCCATTTGTAAATGATAAACTACCTGAGATTTGATGACTTAAGATGCAATTACAAGTGATGAACCATTGAAGATGATACAAAAAAAGCAAAACTTGTTTCAAATTCTTTTACTTTGAATGTAGATTGACTTGATACTTAGAAAAGTTAGACTCTAGATTTTCTGTATAAACTGAGATTTTTTGGAACTCCATCTGATGTAACATTGAATAGTGTTTCTTTAAATAAGCACAAAAAATGCTGATGAGAAAGGTCAAAAGACAAACAGACCCACTTAAAGAGTTGCACATAAGTTTAATTTTATAATGTGTTTGTAAAGAGATTTCAAAAGAACATAATGAAAACACTATTCTCTATTGCAACAGACTGATGTGCTGCTCTAAGCAGCTTTCTGTCTAATGCTGTATTTTGGGCCAGAGACATTTGTACCACCTTACCTCAGCCTTTGATATGGCTTGTGTCAGGCACCAGAAGTTCTCAGCTTAAATATTAAGAACTCTGCTGTGTTGGATCGTGACGTGATGTTTATTTTAGATGTAAGAGCGAATTGATGCTCCTCTTTGTAGCCACCATTGTGTTCATAACAAGTCAAAAATAGAAGTTGTAGGAGTTTAGGGATATACTTAGAAAACATTCTGAAATTAAGTAGGCGCCATCTTCTTACAGATTGTTCCTTTATTTTTTAGAAATGTATACATCTCTAGTGAATGGAAGGAAAATTCATGTTTCTAATAATATTCTAATGATTAAATACCATTTTGATGACAACATTGGTAAGATGAAAAAAAGTAGACGGGATAGAGAACATGCCAATTTCCTCAGAAGATAAAATAAATATTTACCTACATTATAATAATTGCAGTTTATCCCATTGAAGGGAGTGGGAAGTGTACTTTCCTTATAAAGGAGGGAAGGAGGAATTCATCAACTGTGTATCAGGGTTTCGTTGCTCTGTAAGGTAGAATGAGGCGCTTGCAAAGAGTAACAGCTTCTGACCATCTTAATTTTGTACTTTATTTAGTTACTTGGGTGTTATAACATCCTTTCTGACCTCCAGGGTATGGATTAAAAAGTCATATCCGAACACACACTGGTGAAAAGCCGTATCGGTGCACAGAAGAAAACTGCACCAAGTCATTCAAGACTTCAGGAGACCTACAGAAACACATCCGAACCCACACAGGTAGAATGACTACCATTTTTGTTTCCCTAAGTTAATTCACTTTGGTGGATTTCTCTGATTCACGTTGCTTAGAAAAGTGTTCAAGCACCCATGCTGCCATTGCAGACGTTTAGCAGTGTGTCACTGACGTTGTCACTGAGCACCTTTGCAGTTGGGTTTGCAGCTCAGTACCAAGGGGTCTGTTCTCAGTAATGCAGCTCACCTTTTAGAAGTGGTTTGGTGCTTTAAGATAAATTGGACGCCAGGTTCATGAAGGCTGATAGGTTGTTGCCCTTCATATCGTATCAAACTAAATGAAGGTTCCAAACGTGTGAAAATTAAAACTCAAGTCCTTGTGGAAATAGATGGAGTCGTGTGTGCTCATAGATACCCTATGCGAGTTTCAACGGCGCACCGATGGAGGCAAGCCTTCTCGTGTTGCTGGTGCAAGAAAATCTCGGTCACCTGGAAACAGGTCACTTTTCTAACAACTCCATTAGAAACACAAAGGCAAACCGGTCCGGTGACATTCCTGCAATCGCTGAAAAACAATCAGTGTTGTGGTTTCTGACTGCAGCCCTTCTTGAGGCTGTAATTGGAGGCTCTGCCTCGCCACGGGGATCAGGGGAGCCATGGTAACACAACACTGAGGCGTGTACGCTCACATACGCTCTGCCTTGGCAGAAAAGTGGAAAACGTTCCCGAAACGGCGGCCTTAAGGAGTGAATTATAGTTTCCTCTGCCAAGAAGCTAACTGCTTTGGAGTTACATGTCTGTATCAGGTCTTCGTTTTTCATTTCTGTTTCCAAGTACTTAGAATTGTGTCTGTAGTGCTAATCTGCCCTCTCTTGCTCTCGGACTCCTCTCTTTGTTGACCAGTACGGTGGGGGCAATGTACTGAGCCCTACCAAGTGTCAGGTTCCAACAGGACAGCATGTTGGATGGCTCGTGCCTCTCCAAATTCAGTCCCTTTGCTCTCCTCCCTGGAGCTGTGTGCTCTGATAGGTCTGAAGGATCAGCGAGGTTAGACAGGCTGGCTTTATCTGATCTTCACGGTGAAGGTGTTGGAGGAGCAATGTGAGTTATTGTGTGTAAATTTAGTATAGGAATGGACTTAGTAACAAAAAAATCTGTGATTACTTTGACTTTGGCTTTAGAAACTTGAATTTCTAGGCTGTGTCCCTTTAAAAATTTGTTTCAGCCAAAAGTAAAGTGCTTTCTGTGGTGAATTTGACTAATTTGCCTGTATCTTGGTGATGTCTCAAATCATGAAGTAATTTTTTTCATTTTATTAATTACAAATGTACAAATGGTTTAATGCACTTGCTTTGGATAACATATGTAGCATTTTGTCTGGAGGGGTTAAACACACGCAAGAATATAGGTAATATGGAAGCTAGTTCAAGCAACTGAGTCTGTTTTAAATATCATGAGATACTGAGTGCTTCATAATTTATCTCACAGCTTACACAGTTTTCCCAGTTTTTGCCAGATATAGGTACAACACTCCGTGTCACGTGTTCATGGCATCTCTGAATGAGGCTCTCAGTTAGATAGCTTTGGATTCCAACGTTCAGCATAAGTGTAACTCACAATTTTTGTACTCTTTCATCACTTTCCTGTGTGTACTTCTTTTTTTTCAGGCGAAAGGCCCTTTAAGTGTCCTTTTGAAGGCTGTGGCAGGTCGTTCACAACATCTAATATTAGAAAGGTTCACATCAGGACACATACAGGTGAAAGACCTTATTACTGCACAGAACCAGGATGTGGGAGAGCTTTTGCCAGTGCAACTAATTATAAGAATCATGTGAGAATACACACAGGTATGTGGATGGTGTTTCATGTTTTGAAATGGATCCTGCTTGTGAGAGTCTTCTTTTTTGAACACTGTTTTGGTGCACTGTAGTTGGATGTAGTCATGTTTAGGTGACTTGACCTGGTGCCTTTGTTTTGGCTTCACGTGAGGGAAGATGAGCATAGTTTGGCTCACCTTTGTGAGTCTCCCATTCACTTGGATTGTATTTTCAAGATTCTGAAATGTAAAAGCTAGTGATAGCCATATCATCTTAGAAGCCTTGCATGTTTATAGATGCACGGATAAGTTTCATGCAGAACTTTTGTATCTGATCAGCTTTATAGTTTGTAATGTAATTTAGACATTTGTTTCATTGATTTTTTTTTTTTAGGATTTTTTTAAAGGAACAAAACTGTCAGTGCTGTGCAAAATTGGTGTTTAGGTTGACACCTTTCCAGAAGCTCAAAGTTCCGTGTCACTCAGTGATGCAGTTTGCATTTGCCTTCATCCTCAGTATCAGTTTCTAAAGATTCTATAAATTGCAGCTTTTAGACTGCATCATCCCGTACTCATAAGGAGAACATTTTATATGGATTAGGAGAAAAAAGGGCCCAGCTTTCACTGGCAGGTTAAAAAAAAAAAAAGACCAATGAGAAGCTGCATTGATAAACTTAGTGAGCTAGAGCTTCACTGTTGCCTTTGAAATTGAAATTGGCTTGGTAGTGGAAGTGTGTCACTAAATACCTTACAAATTCATTGACAGTTTTGTTTGTGCATTCTGGATAACATTCTCTCCTTCTCTTTGCCATACAGGGGAGAAGCCCTATGTCTGTACAGTTCCTGGTTGTGATAAACGTTTTACAGAGTATTCCAGTTTATACAAACATCATGTTGTACATACTCATTCCAAACCATACAATTGCAATCACTGTGGAAAGACATACAAGCAGATTTCTACACTTGCTATGCACAAGCGGACAGCACATAATGACACAGAGCCCATTGAAGAGGAACAAGAGGCTTTTTTTGAGCCACCTCCAGGTTAGAGTTTCAGTCTTTGAATCTCTTGTAACAAATGGGCTGGATAATATTATGCTGTTTATAACCAAGGAAATTAAAGTATAGATAAAAATCTGAAGTACTTAATAAAAGTTATTTAACTTCTTTGTAGGACTTTTTAGTGTGCTGGTCAACTTGTAAACAGAAACCGAGAGAGTAATTGACCAGATCATAAACTGAGTTTATAGCAGGCTGGAGATAAGAGAGATTTGAGAAATCTGAGCTGCAGTCCCAGCAAACCTGCTATAAACAATTCTGCTATAAACGTGAACTGTGTGAAGGGACCTGCAAGAGTCTAAAGTGCTTGTCTGCAACCTACTGGATTTTTCTGAGGCACCACAGTTGCTGGAGGTCTTTTATCAGGAATAAAGGCACTGCTTTGTGAAAAGGAAAAATCCGTTTGTGCAGCACAGGGATACTGTGGTGGTTTTGTGACAGTTAATAGCAGAGTTAATAGCAGTGTCTGTGAATTTAGGTCCTAGAGGCAAAGACAAAAATAAGCTAAGAATGTTTGTCATGTCATGAGTAGTATCTTGTGACTATAAAAATGAGGTTAGAAGAAATGCCATGAGAGAACAGTTATCTCTTGCCAAACTGTGATTTGTCTGAAGATAGAAAATGCAGATGCAAAGGGTTCTGTTTTACTACGTGTATTTGGGAAACAGCACTGAACGCCTCAAGCATATTTGCTATAGTCTCATGCCATCTTTTGAGGGAATTATAGGATTCTTTTACTGAAGTTAAACATTTATTAAGATAATTAACTGAAATCTTCACACAAAGGCATCACTGTATTCCTCTGCCTGTTTGTTAATGAATAACTTTTAGAAACTGCCATTTGTGTTCTCATGAAGGCTCCTGCTTGGAGAAGTTAACATTTAATGATTGAATTAGAAATAGTTTGTTGCCTTTTTAATGTTGGAGTATACACTAGTAATATATTTTTGTTGTGAGTAGCATTTGTATGTCTTTTCTCATCTTTCAACTATCCCTTTTCCACTGAAGTGTTTAAAAACCATCAAACCAGGCTGGCATTTATTCCTTGTTGGTTATCTTTCCTGCCTGCATTTGGAGTATCCAAACTAAACTACTCTCTTGCCTTCTTTGTATCAAATAGGTCAAGGGGAAGATGTCCTGAAAGGCTCGCAAATAGCCTATGTGACAGGTGTAGAGGGAGAGGACGTCATTTCTGCACAAGTTGCTACAGTTACTCAGTCAGGGTTAGGTCAACAAGTAGCGCTAATTGCCCAGGATGGAACCCAACACGTAAGTAATTTTTTGCTGAAGAGGTGACAAAAATATGTTGAGAGTTTCTGCTCGTGTGTCTGATAAATATGTGCGTTGATTTCTCATGGGGAGAAACTTATCTGAAGATTATGCTATATGCTTAGGATTGGATCTCCTCTGGAACACCTAAATTCCACCATAAATTCTCTTACCTGAAACTATATTAATACGATCTTAGGCTTTTTGGTCTATTCTGTTGTCTTTACCACTTAAAAACTCTGGAAGTCCTTTATGCTCACAATATAGGCACAGGCTGTATAACAACTGTTACATGTGCAACATAGTTGCTGAGGTTTTCCAGAGTATCCTGGTTATTCTGTTAGTCTCTGATATTAGTAGAATAATATCACTGATACCACTGCTGCCTCGTTTGCAGACACTTGTTAGAAAAAATAATCTACTTAGTCCCAGTGCATGTTTTACAAACTGGTATATTCAATTCTTACAATTTCTAACAAGAACATGAGAAGATGAGGAAATAGGATAATACTGCCTCTACTCGAGAGTTCCTTTGGATAGCTTTTCTGGAGGAATGGGTAAGGAACCCACTGAGAGTGGATTTCAGTACAGTTCTTTAGTTTAACTCTGCTGGTACATTGAATGCATAATGGGGAAAAAAATCATATTTCAAGTGAGGAGGTATCTGCTGCACCAGTAGGATATGAAAAATATCTTCTAAATTGTAATTGGAGATGAAATATTAAAGGGGGCTGTCACATTGCAAGCCCTGATCAGTGCAGCAGTACTAAGGAACCAGCATTTTTGCCCCTAGAAATGAAGGCTTTTAGAAGCCATAACATGGAGTTCTTCTCATATCTATTAATCCTTCAGCTTGGTTTCAGTTCTGGAATGTTTTATTGCCTTCTAAATCATGCAAATCATCAGATCAGTAACTGATTCCCTAATGCATTTATATTGGAGACATCAGTAATTTATATCAATTTTTAAATGATTTTTTTAATTGGTGGTTTTAATTCTAAGTCCTTACCAAACCTCTTTAGTGTCTCCATTAAGAATAAAAGCATGTGATGCAACTTGAGTCTCACTGTCCTGTTGTGTAAGACGTGTGCATAGATAACGTTGCATGCAGTTCTTTGGGGTATAATTAACTGACATGGAGTTGTAGACTCTGATGGAAAGCACACAACTCTTTCTCATTGCTGGGCCATAATTATATTTCTGTAAAGAGATACAAGTGTCTGAAAGATGGTGGGATGTTAGATCTCCATCCATGTTTGTGATGAGGGCTTTTCATCCAAGACTGGGAATTGGCCAGAGAGTGACAGTGATGCTCAGGAAATGCATGAGTTCATCAAGGAAGTGGAATAATAGCTGCTATAACTTGTGGACAGGATGTTACTGTAAATGGGACTTACAGTATTTCTTTCAGCGCTGTTGTGGGTAAGTTGCCTCTTAATTCTGGATTGTCAGGCAGTTTGTTTCACATGAGGAAGGTGAAGTTGCACCATCTGCTGCTGAATCAACTAGCAGGAACGTGTTTGATGAATGCTGCTACAGTGCAAATGCAAACTCTGATTTTTTTTCAAACCTCAGTTAAAAACATTTACCTGAAAACAGCATTATGTTGCTGAAAGCTAACCCTCAGGTATGACTTGAGCAGCGATTAAACCTTCTTTACTTCAGGAACTGTGTTATGTTTCAGGTCAACATATCTCAGGCAGATATGCAGGCCATTGGAAATACAATCACTATGGTAACACAAGATGGCACCACTATCACAGTCCCTGCCCACGACGCCGTCATCTCTTCTGCAGGAACACATTCTGTAGCAATGGTTACTGCAGAAGGCACCGAAGGACAGCAGGTAAAAAATTACCCTGTGTACATAGGTAATGTTCTTTTTGAGATGGCACAAAAGTCATCACAGTATTCAACACCAGGCTGTGTCATTCCCATCAGAAGACTACAGTATGTTCTATCCCGTTAGTATCAGTAACAGGTTGTTTTAGAAACAATAAAAACAAAAACAAATAGAAACAAAAAAAATGCCAAGGTACCAATTTGATAATTCTCATAGGTCTGCATAAAACAAGACATAGACATGCTAAGCATTTCTCCTGGAGTCACACAGTAAACAAGTGGTAAAGCTAAACATAGAATCCAGTGTGAATTTATTGCTTAATATTATGGGATTGTAATCTGTTTTGCAGGGAGGAAGTAAGTATATGTTTGCAGTTTTGCTATTAATATACAGTAGTTAACTTTTTCAGTACAAATAGAGTGATACAGCTTTTAGTATTTAAGTGAAAATACATCCCACTGTTCTAAAAATGTGCCATGTGAAAATGAATATATTTACTTCTCTGTATGAGTGTGTGCATGCCCTGTACGTGTAGATAATCATGGCCTTGCAGATACAGCTACTGAACTTCTGTGCTGTACTGAAGATACTTATGTTTTGAGGGCTAACAGATGACGCTGAGAAACAGTGATGTAACCTTTCTTAAACAAAGATCCGCTCTGCAGGATAAAACTGTGCTCATGAAAAACCATAGCTTTGAATGTAACTTTAAGTTTGAAGATTACAGTTGTATGAGGTGAATAGCAGTAATCTGGAACCATACAGTTGATTCTCATTCTTTGGTCCTCAAGGTTGCCATCGTGGCTCAAGACTTAGCAGCGTTTCATAGCACCTCATCAGAAATTGGACATCAACAACATGGGCACCATTTAGTGACCACAGAAGCTCGGCCTGTTACATTGTTGGCTACGTCCAACGGAACACAAATTGCAGTACAGGTAAAGTGAAAAATGGTTTTTGGAGTGTTTCTTGCTTCTAGAGTTAGAAGTTCCTAGTAGTATAACAAAATCAGTCTAATCAGCTTGGCTCCCCTGAAAAAAAAATAGCCAGTAACCATATAGTTTTGTATTTTAAAGAAGAATAATAAGCACCTGGTTTTCCAAATCTATTTGTAGTACTTAAAAATGAATAAATGAAAGGTTGGGGAGGGCTGAAGTTAAGGACAGATGAATCTTCCACTGAAGAATGATGCATGTCCTGTTTGGGAGTCAGCAGGTCTTTTGTGGAAGAGTGTGTTCCTTCATCCTTCAGCATTCCATGTCAAGGTGATCAGGAATGCTACATTATCAAAGTTGAATTGCTGAGAGCACGCCCATACAGATCAAATGACTAAAGTTGTGATTTGAACCCTGAAATGCTGGTAGCAAAAAAGTGTGAACAGTCATGTAGAAAAAGCAGTAATTGGAGATCTCTCTTTTTAGTTGCATCTACAAGATAATAATTTCCTCTCTACTGTAGAGCTGAACAGTGTCATGGAGACCATTTCTTTCTATAATCAGAATTCTGCAATAGGTTTACATTGTATATATTATATGCTGTTGTTCCATAGAGCTTATTTTCTCAGAAGAATTAAGGAAACTGGAAGTTTGTTTGGTTTGCCACATCTAAAATGTAATTTAGCGGCTACTGTAATTTCAGAAGCCTTATTTGAGCTTTGTTATGTCTGTCAAGTGAAATTATTATCTGTGTAAATTGTCTGAATTATTACATGTAATGAAATGTATTTACCATGCAGCAATTCTTTGAAGAAACTAAATTTGGTAAATACAAAGAATCTCAGTTAAATCTGCTATCAGAGCTACCTGCTACCTCCTGGTTTCCATGCTGTTATTGTAGATGACCCAGGTGATGAACAGTGCTGATCACACTTATTTGTGCTCGCTACCCATCGGGATCTTTGCCTTTGGTTTCATCTTACAAATCTGTAAAGAAAAATTAATCTGTGTGAAATTTTAGATTGATTTATGTTTAAATGCATTTGTTTCAGCTTGGAGAACAACAGTCTCTGGAAGAAGCCATTAGAATAGCCTCCAGAATACAACAGGGTGAAACACCAGGAATTGATGATTAACTTCTAAAACTGCTACCAGAACAATAGAGTGAAAGGTATTTTATTTTCAAACAACAAAAGTCCATGCCAGCAGCAATCCACAAAAACTTTGAAGTTCCCCTCTCATCGATACTGTGTACACATTTTATGCAAGAGCAAAGAACGTTTTCTAAGCGTTGTGTACATAACCCTGGGAATGGACTGACATCATCTACTTCCAACTGTTGTATATTCAGGAATATGGAATTAGGATTATCTAGTAAATTTCCTTGTTATCCTTTCATCAGATTTCAGACTGGTCTACAAGCAAGTTAAAAACAAAACAGAAGTACTGGAGTTAATTTTTAGTGTCATGTACAATAACAAAGGCATTACTGAATATTTGAAGTGTTGTAAAGACTATAACAAAATCACAATTTCAAGAGCCCTTACAAGTTATAAAGAAGACAGAGCCTGTTCAGTTGTTTTCCATAAATGGAAAAGACGTGGATTTTGAGCCTACTGTAAACCTTCACACTTTGATTCGTTTCATACAGATTTGAATACTCTTTAGATTACCCACCCCATCTCATTCATTGTAAATACAGATTGTTAATGCTGGAAGTGCTAATTGTATTATCTTTAAATTGGATTGTGTACAAAGGAGAAACTTTGGTTGTTCAATATTAAAATAAGTAAATCTAATGATTTCGTTTCTTTACATATTTTACTTAAGATGTTACTCTGAAATTATTATGCAATAAAAGATAACAAGATTGTATTATCTAGATAGGATGATGTTGTTCTGTGACATATTGTTTTACTTTTGGTGGGAGAAGTGAAATTATTTATTTATGGCCTTGTATAATTTTTTTTCCAAAGTTTATTTATCATAAATCTCAATTTTTAACTTACTCATTTTGACCGCGGTCCACTGAAGTGTAAGAAGTAATCAGTGCTAAGAGTTATTTTCAGCATGCTGAAGCACTACAGAAATTGTTTAAAAGCATAATCAGTCAACTGATTTTGATTAAAAGTAAACTAGGAGTTTTCAAGAGGAATATGTTCAAACGGTGCATTTGGGGCATAAACACGTGTATTAACAGTCTGTTTTCAGCAGTTCTGAGTGCCTGCACTACTGTTTGTTACCTACGATGTGCTGATAAGCAGTGATTTTGAAAATCAGGACACAAGTTAGTAGGAAAAAAAAGGATTAATTAAAGATTATGTTAAGTACAGTGCTCCTCTCCACCTACCATTCTATAAAGGAAAAAAATTCATTGTAGATAAATCTAACACGGACTGTAAGATGTAACTTACAACTTTTTATACAGAAAAATGCCTTTAATTGTCTTGTTAGTAAGCTTGTTGAGCAAGTTAAACTTCCTTGGCTCCCTGTAAGATTCAGTGCTTGCTTTAGATGAATGTCAAGAACACTTCTGAAACTGAAGCCCCACCTTTATCCTTCTCAAGGAAAAGATTAAACATCTTGGGGGTAAAAAGTCAATCGAGTAATCATTTTCTATGTCTTGTGAGGGGCTTGTTTTGCATTTAAGAAAAAAAAGTTAATAACTATGTGCTTGGAGGTATTTGACATCAAGAAGGCCACGCTGAATATAATGTGATTGACTACATCGATACGGGTTGCAGCTTTTTATGCTTTTCATACAGATGGCCAACTGCAAAATGCTGCGAGAGAACACAGTGCTGTGGGATAAAGGTGGTCAAAACAGACCTTCAACAGAGCTGTTACGAAACAAAACTTGAAACCGTTCAGGTTGTCTGCAACCTTCCTGTAGGATTGAGGCTGTTTACTTACTTAGGTGCCAGATTTCCTGAAATTTTAAGTAATTTTGATGTCCCATGGAGATAAACTGTACTATGCAAAGAGGTTAATTACATGTCAACTAGATCAGTTTCTTAGTTTTTACGACCTTTTAGAAATTAAAGATGTATCATTTGACATGAAAGTTCAAGTTTTTTTCTTAAATTTCATTGCTAATAGTTTTTGGAAACACTGGCTGGAAGTGACTGAACGAAGAAATAACAGTGCCTCTCATTTCCCAGGACACTTTCTGACCACTGTACATGTGAGTATTGCTTCTTCCTTCATAGTAGTTAGTTTCCTGCTAGGTATTAAAAACATTGATAAGGAAGCTTGATAAGCTTGATAAGGAAAAGCTGCAAAATATTTAAGTAATGTTTCTTGTATCTTACCAGTTGTTCTTGCAAAACACCCACAATCAAAGGTTGTGCTTCCCCCATAGCTACCCCTATAAAGGAAAACAAATACTGAATAAACAAGGCAGACTGACTTAGACTGCTTAGTCTTGAAAGAGAAGCAGAGATGATTACATGCATTTTCACTGTGAGTATGTATGTGTAACAGACTTGTTTTCAGAATGGAGAGACCTCTGCGATTTTCTGCTGGTTTCCCAGGACTTGGAAGGGAACCTTCTTGTGAGCATACATCACCACTGGAAGGTTCTGCAGCGGAGATCACACAAGTTGAAAGTGGGTGAGGAAGGGATCTTGGTGAAAAGGATTCCAGGAGGAGGCAGCAAAGAACATGCCCAGAAGGGCTGGGTGTTAGGCAGTAGAAATCTCTTAGTTTAGCCATAGATTTTACTTCTCTTTTTGAATGTTCTGTTTCAAAGGGAGCGACGCACTGTGAGAAGGAATTGTAAAAGAGGGATCCTATGAAGTAGAACAGCCCTTCCTCTTAGAAACTGGCTCCCACATTTCCAGCGTTCCCAGTCACAGTTTTCTTTCAGACTTGAATTTCAGCCCTAACTCCTTCCTTACAGGAAAAAAACAAGCCATCTCTAGACTTGGCAGTCAGCACGGGGGATCTGCTTTTCTTTACAGTAGTTCAGTGCCTCTCCAGATAGTAAAAACAGAGAGGCAATTATTAGAGGTGCTCCAGGCTGATGACCTTTTGTGCCAGAGGCTTTGTGCATAACAATGGGACAGTTTTTACCCTAAAGAGCTTAATGCCAAAGCACACATGAATAGGCTGAAGCTGCAAGACTGTGTTTTTAGAAGAGTAAATCCTGCAGCCTGACAACAAAGTTGTAGAAAGCCATAATCCCTGATAGTGTAAGTAATCTCAGCGACCAGTCAGCTGACTGATACCAGAGATATTCAGGCACAGTATGGCAGGAACAAGGACATGTGATGTCTGCCTAGCATACAACAGAAGGAGAAAGCTAATAGTCCAGATAAACAAAATGTAGGAGCTTGGAGGGCAGCTTTTCCTGAACTTTACTCTAGCTCCTAACCTTCATTAAACTGTGGGGATGTTCTGGCTTCCCTGACTGTCATGTCGTAGTAGAATACTGAAAAATCCCTGTGTGCTCCATGCTTCTCAGGAGGCAGAGCTGAGAAGCTTTAATCAGTTTCAACCACTAGGAAAAGACAGCAGAGCAAGGATGTAAAGACCTGTTTGAACCCAGCAACTTAACAGCTGCATACCTTAGGGTGACCACAGCTCCAGCTTAACCAGAATGCATAAGTGCCCTATGATGAACCCATCGCAGTCACTTAGTTTGTCTTTGAAGGGTAGGAATAAGATGTGCAGCACAGATTTCAGCAGTTTTCATGTACAGCACAAGTGAAAGTAAGAGTAGGGCAGGCAGGAAAATGATTTCTGAAGGGGCAAGCTCTAAATTTCTAGAAAAAAGGAAAACCAGAAATGAAGGGTACCTTGTATTCTATGCAGCTATTTACAGTTGTTTGAGACTTCAGAAATATACTATTTCACTCTTTCTCATTTCTTTCTCAAAAAAATACACCAGAATTAACACGTGCCTTGTCTGCACAGATGCAAATGCATGAATTCATTTCCAGCATGAATTCAGACCCCAGCTCACTGTTGATAATAATGTACTCCTATTTTTGCAAATCAGTATGTATTTGAATAGTCGATCTTCCAAAAGTAAATTTTGCTCCATTGGATAAAAGCCTTCTGAAGTCTGAATCTATATGACAGGAGACCAAAAGCCCATCTTGGTTACTGTGCCTTAAACAGTAAACTATGCTCCATAAAATAAGTTGTATAGATCAGCATTTTTTGTTGTCGTGTTGTGTATTTGAAATGTAGCTTAGGTGTTTTCAGTAGTTTTGATGATCCTTTGATGTTCCTTTGATGTTCCTTTGCCAGCAAAGTTCAGGTGGCCAAAGGAATATCTGACAGTGCAATTAGACTATCACCTTTAACAGGAATTGGCTGGCACCTGACCCCACTGTTACAGTGATAGCAGACCTTTCCAACTGAAGAGTTATATTCAAAGCAGACTTAATTATCCCAACAAGCATACAAGCTTATATCAACAAGGAAGCATTTTGTCCTGCATAGTCTGTGTGTTTTTCTCTAATGGAAACGTGACCCTCTGAGCTCCCACCCAGCTCAGGTTTTGAAGAACTAAGAGACTCTGTCTGGATTCATTTTGTTCTGTTTCAATTATTTGAAGCATTTTACTCAGAAGAATGACAAAACGTTGATACTTTTTGAGCACAAATGATTGCATGGGAAAAAAAAAAAAAGGTCCTAGTAAGTTTTTGCCTGCTTGTCTGCATCTGTAAGAAACGCTTGCAAGATATCTTACATGAAATGATACATACAAGAGATCATTAAAATAAGTTGCAGTAAATTTGAGAAAAGGCAGAGTACTTTTATGATTTTCTATGTTTCCTGGAGGGAAAAAGACAAAGGTTAGAGATGCCAGGGAACTAGTAGTGACTTTTGTTTATGTGCATGGGACATTCTGAGGCTTTTAATCTTGTATTACGATGATTTTAACTTCACTTTGGCCCAGGAGAGGGGCATTCTCATTGTACCTGTTGTTGTCAGCCATGGCAATCATTCTCTCTTCAAACTACAAGAGAGTAGTACAGCACTCTGCACATTTCAAGAGAATTTCTGATCTGAATACAACTCACAGGATCAGATTGTTGTGCTGTTTTCTTTGTAACCAGAGGCAGAAATGCATGCAGAAAGGGTGCCATTAAGGCCTGATGAAGAGTGTACGCTTTCACTGTTATAGACAAATATTGAGGAACTGTGCCTGACTGCTTGGCAAAATCTGTGTTGCTTTTTTTTTTTTTTTTTTAATATAACTTCTTTCTGAGTATTTTCAGATCATTTCATTTGAATTCCTTTATTTTGGGCCTAGAGTTTCTTCTTTGATAAGCTGTCAAATTCCCCTTTCTGCTGTCCACCTCCATCTCTTGCTCTTGCATTCACCCAGGCAGTTCAGTTGACATCACTGAGAAATGCTCTATCTGCATGAGAAGTATGGGCTAAAAAGTAAAAGGTCTGGCAACATCAAGTACAAGCTGCTGTAGAGTTTCTAATTTTCATAGAAGCAACCTGACCTCCCTTTTCTTTGGCTTTTTCACTTTGTTTATCCTTCTCATAAAATGAACCAGTTTCAAGGTTATGCTGGCTGCTCTACAGTGGGTTTCATCCTGTTTTTGGCAGAACTCTTCCAATTTGATCACAGTGGTTTTGGGGGGCTGCAGACGAACTTGTAAGTGGAGGAAATCCTGGCAAGTAGGCACTGTACTCCCTTCTGTGGCAGTTTCCTCTGACAGCTAGACAAATCGGCCATTGTTTCACTTCTTTCCCATTCATCATTGTTTGGGTTGTCCTGCTACCCTCGAAGGAGAGAACTGTTTCCCTTTGAGCTTGAAAACTCCTAGTT